GTGTCCATGCACTGGGTGTGTGATCGCTGCCTAATTAGAGTCCCAGACACCTTGTCTACTTGGAAGCACTTCTGATCTTCCAGCTGTTCAACCAGCCCATTCATCCCACAAGCATTCCAGGAGGGAGTGGGAGGGGGACAGCCACTTCACAGGTATTCAGAGAGGGAAAGGAGACAAAAGGGGGGGGGGGGAAGTATAACAGACCTTTTGAGCATACAGATTATACATAGCATACAGATCACTGCTGCTCCTACAACAAAAAAATTAATAATTCTTTCTTATCTACTTTCAACTGTTCGGGTGCCCCTTTGAGCTACTCTGTTGAAAGCTAGCATACTTGGTCATAATGGGACTGCAAATCATAGGGGAAAATGACATTTTCTATTTCTATTATGGGTCGCCAAAGAATTTAAGAATTATATGCACTTCTGTGAGGCAAACCTGGTGGACATGAAGCCCCCAGTGTAGAGAAATTGCAGTAATCTAAGATCATCAGTTCTATCTAACAGATTTTAGCCAAGAAAATTTCAAACGGGAGGAAGTGCAGCTCAGGCAACCAATACTGACAGTTACATCTACAGATTACTAGTTGATAGCTGTCAGCTAATACACATAAAATCTGTGGCATAGCCTAACTAGAGCCAGGCACTTTTCATCAACAATTCTCAAGACTCAGACTTCATTATGAGCTGTGTGGAAAAAAAACCAAAGATATGATGTGAACAGATTTTGAGAGATATAGGAGAGTGAAAGAGAGAGAGTTCTTCTATCAGGGAAAATGTCTTTCCTTCTCTGTCTTGGGTTCTGGTGTCCTTTCCTCAGTGCACCATATTCGCATGCTGTTTCTGTGAATTTTCAAAGTCCGCCCACATTAAAGGTAAGCAAACCACTTCAGATAAAATAAATATTCAGTGGAGAAGATTCATCTACGTGGTCTGGGAAATGTTTGGGCTAGTTTGAATTACTGTGCAAGATCTGAGAAAAGACAAGATTTTTATTTTAAGTCTAGGTTTATGACATTTGTTTTACATAACTTATCCAGTTCAATAAAAGTTTTCCGTGGTACATGAGAAAGATTGTAAATCACCCTAGCACATTTTGCATGAAACTTACTGCAAGAAGAGACTGCATGAATTAATTGGATGAAAAATGCCAGCAAGAAAACAAATGGCTGCACTTTGATAGTTTAGCCATAGCCTGGAGATACTGGTATTAAATCATGAAATATCATAAACAAACCTTGTCTATTCATTAGCAGAATACAAAATGGTATGCGTAACATGGAACCTTTTTGAAAGTGAGCAGGTTTTAGAACATGATTTAGCTTCAACAATAAGGCACATACTTAGAAAATAGCTGATGGTTTATTTTTGCACTGCCAAATGAATAAGAAAAAAGTTATTTACCTGTAATTTTTCACCAAGGTTCACAGCAGTATCCACATTCTTGGGTGCACACAGTGTATGTAGTTGCAGAAAGTCTCATAGTGAAAACTGGGATCACCTCTGGCATGTTCCTCTGCCTGCTAGATGCCCTAGTGATCTTTAATATCATTACTAGTTTTCTAATAGCTAAAGATGTAAAACGTAAGTGTAATAAAGAAATATCTATATCCTCCATCTTTACAGGTAAGATGGGTGCCCAGCAGAATGTGGATGTTTAGCAAGTACTCTGTCTTAGGGTATGTCTACACTGCAGCTGGGAGCGAGCCTCTCAACCTGGGTAGAAAAACTCATGCTAGCTCGACTTGAGCTAATGCTCGAACTACAACAGAGTAGATGTTGCTGCTTGGGCTGCATCTCAGGCTCTCATGCCCACTCAACTCCCTGCATCTGCAAAAGCTACCCACAGCTTGGGTACCCCAAGCTACCCCACAACTTCTACACTGCTATTTTTAGTGTGCTAGCTTGAATCTATCTTACTGAGTTGGGAGACTCACTCCCAGCTGAAGTGGAGACATACCCGTAGGGCTGGATCCAGGGACACTCTGAGTCTTTCCTTTGACTTCATTTGTTCTTGGATCAGGATATTAAAGAACAAGAATTAGTTGAAAGTAATTTTCTTATTGGGTGTCATGGCAAAACCTCACTGTAGAGACCAGGGCTTTGATTCTTCTTAGACACTTAAAGTGGTGAAACTCAGGTGTAACTCCATTGAAGTCAATAGAGTTACGCTAGTGTAAAACCAGTCTTTTCCCCCCCAACAGAGCAAAATAGTGAAAGTAAAACAGTAACAATGGACATTACAAAAGCTTTGTTAGAGATCTGAAAGACTAATGGCACCTCCCTCTCCTTATCCCTAAAGACTGCCATGAGCCCCTTGAAGGAAAGCTTTGCCCTACATCTTTGGCTTAGTTATGCAGAAACATAGGGGGCCCACATGACAGTTTCTTAAGTCTTGTCTTGGTTTGGCTACACTGGTGATTGTAACATTAAGAATACCAATACTGAACACTTTTGAGTGCTCAGCAGCCTTTTTAAATCACTGCATCAAACAACTTTGCTCACATGAAGTTTAGCTGACAGTGCTGAATATGTCCCGCCCACATGACAAGTGGTTTAATGCTATCTGTGAGATTTTATTAAAGCACATAGCACAAGCCTTTTGAACGGAAACTGTTTGGTTTACTGGTGGAATTGCTTGCATCATTCTGTGCAGCAACTTGACCACAAAGTGACACAACTTATCCTCTGTCCTGATGAGGCTGCCTGGGTGATTCTACAGTAAAAAGCTACCACCTTTGCACCACAAACTAAAAATTATCTTCAAAAATTGGGGTGGGGGTGATCATTTGCAATCACCTCCCCCCTAATAACTTGTTGAAAATGAAACTCCTCCGACTAAAACACTAATCTCCAACAAAAATTCTCTCAGGCAGTCACCGACGTCAGTGAGCCCGACATCCTACTGAGAAAAAACGTAAGGGCAATGTGACATTTGCATCATGAGATCAGGATTGTCTACCCATTTTGACAGGTTTCAGAGTAGCAGCCGTGTTAGTCTGTATCCGCAAAAAGAACAGGAGTACTTGTGGCACCTTAGAGACTAACAAATTTATTAGAGCATAAGCTTTCGTGGGCTACAACCCACTTCTTCGGATGCATATTGAGTGAAACATATCGAGGAGATATATATACACACATACAGAGAGCATGAACAGGTGGGAGTTGTCTTACCAACTCTGAGAGGCCAATTAAGTAAGAGAAAAAAACTTTTGAAGTGATAATCAAGGTAGCCAAGTACAGACAGTTTGATAAGAAGCAAGTGTGAGAATACTTACAAGGGGAGATAGATTCAATGTTTGTAATGGCTCAGCCATTCCCAATCCCTGTTTAACCCTGAGTTGATTGTGTCTAGTTTGCATATCAATTCCAGCTCAGCAGTCTCTCGTTGGAGTCTGTTTTTGAAGTTTTTCTGTTTTAAGATAGCCACCCGCAGGTCTGTCATAGAATGGCCAGACAGGTTAAAGTGTTCTCCCACTGGTTTTTGAGTATTATGATTCCTGATGTCAGATTTGTGTCCATTAATTCTTTTGCGTAGAGACTGATATGCAAACTAGACACAATCAACTCAGGGCTAAATAGGGATTGGGAATGGCTGAGCCATTACAAACATTGAATCTATCTCCCCTTGTAAGTATTCTCACACTTGCTTCTTATCAAACTGTCTGTACTTGGCTACCTTGATTATCACTTCAAAAGTTTTTTTCTCTTACTTAATTGGCCTCTCAGAGTTGGTAAGACAACTCCCACTTGTTCATGCTCCCTGTATGTGTGTATATATATCTCCTCGATATGTTTCACTCAATATGCATCCGAAGAAGTGGGTTGTAGCCCACGAAAGCTTATGCTCTAATAAATTTGTTAGTCTCTAAGGTGCCACAAGTACTCCTGTTCTTTTTACCCATTTTGGCTACTTCTAATCCCCTGTAACAGCAGAGATGACAGCTTTTGGCAGAATTTTTAGTAGACCAGACAAATGGGAAGGGTCAACAGTGAATTTTAGCAATTATGAGACATGTATTAACAGTGACTAGAACAAAGGAATACTGCAATCTAAAACTGTGCATGTTCCCTCTTATTGCTCTACTACTGCATCTTGTTAGACTTTCCTTTCAGAAACAGCTCTCTCACTATGAGGGGCAGTATTGTCCAATAGTTACATAAGGAAACTGCAAGTCAAGGTGATTGTGTATCATCGCCACTCTACCGCTGTGCAATTTTGGGCAACACACTAAAATCCCTCTGCTTTCCTAATCTGTTGTGGCTAATTTACCTACAATGCTTCCTGCAGTTAAGAAGGATGAATCTTGAAGACACACTACTAGTTCAAATTTGACTCCAAGTTCAGGACTTCTATTAGAAATGTTCCCATTACAATAAAAATCCGTGGACACTTTTAAAAAACAAACAAAACAAACAATCAGTTGCAACCTTAAGTTTACAATATTGACTAGTCTTTCAGTTGTATAGTAAACAGTGCAAGTTGACTTGAAATAACCTATAAAGAAAGAAGTGAAAAACTATCTTAATTTTCCAAATTGAGCGGAAACCCCCTCCCCATTTTTTACTCAAAACCCATCTGTAAAGGTCACTCTGGTAACTTACTCAAACAAAAAGTGAACTTCTCGAAAAAAGCAGAAATACATCAACACTTGATCAGCTTCTCTCTTAAAACAGAGACAAAAAGAGGAAGATAGTAACTGAGCATGATGAAGTAAAGATATTTCCATCCTTCAAAAATCATAATTTTAATTATACTTGTGTACTTTTATACAGTTTCATATGTATAAATGTGTGAGCATATATACTGCAGAACTGTTTCAATGGCTGTTTAAAAGCAGTTTGTCTCATTCAGCCATTTTTCTTAAATTATTTTAAGAAAAATACTGACTCCATTGTCATTTTTAAGTCAAAATGATTGCGACTCATTTAACTGTGAAAGTGGAATGTTACTAATAACCATGTGTGTCACTATAATAAAATAATCTGCAGTCCAAGTTATATCTTCCCCCTTCTTTCTGATTTTCTGCTTGCTCAACAATCAAGACCCTTTGTCATCAATAGTAGTTCACTTGTGACCATGGTTTGCAGAACATGTTTTTTAAACAGAAAAAAGTGACAAAGGTTGTGTGGGTTAGTTTTCAAGTAAAAAAAGTTTATTTACAGCTTGAGAAAGTTGCCTTTCCTTAGCATATGAATATGTCAAGAAAAAAATTACACAGTAGTTGCTTACACCAAAACAAAAATATACATTTGATGTGTACAAACTTTTAAAAAACATATTACAGGCATTGCAAATGTAGATATTACATTAAAATATTTCCAACAACATAGCTACAACTTAAATTAAGAAATGGAATGTTAAGTACATTAAAAGATTTAGCGGTTTCCTAAAGTGTCACTGTATGTACATATTTAGTCAAAGTGTCTGGTATTTTAATTTTAGATAAAAGGCATGAGGAAGATCAAACTACCACAACCCTATCATATTATAGGGGCTCAGATATCTAAATGGGTTACACACTTTAGATAATATATACTTAGTTATTTCTGATGATGTAGCTTTTTGTAACTTTGAGGAAGTGCATTGCCTTTATTCTAAAAATAAAGAGCCACGCATGAAAATCCTTATTCAGAAAGACGCTATAGAGGAACACACAATTTACATTAGGAGAGTAAAGCTTTACTGCAAGCTCAGGAAAAACACATTTACAACTGTGTTTTACACAGCCTCTCCAGTTAGTTTTTGTTTTACATAATTCATAATCAAAACATAAGGGGAGAATATGCATCAGATTCCACAAGGTCAGTGGTAATTGAAGGCCTGCTTAAGTTTCAACTCATCTCAGTGATGATAACTATCCAGTTACAAAGCATAGGAAAGCTTGAAAAGTTCAATGTATTGTTTTGTAACTGGAAAGGATGTGTATTCCTGTTTGTGTTAATATAGCCACAGGAACTCTGTTTTAGGATCTCTTTCTTCCAAACCTAGCAGACAAGTGATTTTCCCCCCCATATACTGCAAGTCTGTTCACATAATGCTGACTTTAAGAATTATTCATACAAAGCTGAAGAAATTATAAGTATTCCACAAGTTAAAAGTCTCTCTAAACACTTTTGTACTAGCAGCATTTGATGAGCTGTAAGTGAAAAAAACTGAACCTTTGGTCCTCTAAATTTTCCTTTAATTAACTTTCAAATTTCAAAATTTCCCGTTGACGTACAGAAAATCAGCTATAAAAAAATCTTTAGGTAGCATACTTTCACTAAACATAATACATCATTTTACATGATAAATCTTGTCTAATCTTGTTTCTATGCCATTGGAATCATTATGCTTGGTACAAGAAAATAATTCAAATTAAAAAAAGGTAAGAAATAAGTTGAGGTAATAAACCAATTGCAAATAGACAATTTCACATGTGATAAACTGTTGACTCGGCCTCCCTGTGTTAAAGAACAAATCAAATAGATAATGGAAAAAGGCAATTTATAAAAGTAATCTCTCACCGCTTTCACATTCTCAGACCTTAAGGCCAGAACGGACCATCATGATAATCTAGTCTGAGCTCCTGCACATTGCAGGCCACAGATCCTCACCCACCACTTAATACATTTAAGTATTAAGATAACTTATGTAGGATATTTATTTTCAAGATAAATATTAGGCCAATGACATGTAAAACAAATCAGGAGAAATACACTGAAATAAAGTGGCTAGTTAAAATATAGGTATGTCAAGCTGTGAATCTTAAATTAGTGCAGATAATTTTATACGAATCCCAAATTTCCAGAAATATACAAGATAGAATCACCCCAGTATTTTCATAAACATTTATAAGGTAGATGATAAAATTGCACTTAATTCTGAAGTAACTCAGATAACAAATCATTCCCATTCCTTGCTAATGAGCATTACAATATGGTTTCCTTCCTTTTCTTACACAAGCCTCACATTTCTGTACACTCCATTTAACTTTAAACATTTTGCCATTAACAACAGCCACACAATTTCACTATCTGTCTTGTTGATCAGCATCGGATTTATTTATGTCTGACGCAGACAGTTCTATTACAGGATTCACAAATCCAGCATACTCTGAATTGCCATTATCATCCATCTCAGCACTAACAAAATCATTCTCCCACTCCAAACCATTTGAATCATCAGAAGCTGAGGTTGGATTACTTCCTGTCTTCTTGCTGCTAAATTTTAGTGCTGCTCGGAGTATATCTTCTTCTGTTTTAGAGCGCTCTCTCATTGGAATCATTCTGTTCATGCCTGCAATTTAAGATAACTTTTAAAAAGCCACAACTTTTTTTGGGGGGGTGGGGGGACGAGTGGGGGGGCAGACACTAAGGGAAGAGGAGAATGTGTCATCACATTTTTGCTAAAATATTAAATGCTAACAAGAACACATTTAGAGCCAGATTCTGATACTTTTGCTCTTACTGACTAGTACCTCACTCTGCAAGCAGTCTTGTTCATGTCAATGCAAGTAAGGGCATCAATACCTTCTTTAGTTGTTAATTGGCCACAAGGAAATTGATTACCTGTTCGATAACGAAACTATTTTCTAGCCTTTTTTTGTTTTTAAAGAAGGCAAGAAGCATGGCTAAATAGGATCAGGTTTGTTGACAGTCTTTCCCACTAACCAATCTGCTGCCCTTTCTACTTGATAGGTATGTATGTATTCTGAACACATACAGACATATTAAAAACCTTCTGCTTCCATGAAATTTCTGTGAAAGCTACTAACTCCTGTTAAATCATATGATCTGTAGTAATGTATCTGCTTGTAGCTTCCTGACACAGTGATAGCAGAAGAAATCTTCACCGAGTGAAATGGATTCTGAAGTTCAGAAATTGTGTTTCCCTAGACACAGATACCATTTTGCTTTATACAAAGAGGACAAATTCAAGATACATACACAAAGTAAGCCAAGTTGATCAGAAATTTGCATAACAGGTTAGAGATTTTCCAAAAGAGAGGGATGTTAGCAATGCAGAGAATGCTGCATTATCTCCAGAGGTGTATAAACTGTCTCCTCTGCCAATGGAAAGAAGTGAAAGTTGCAGAGGCAATGAAAGATTTACTGTGCCTCTGTTCTCATTATGGTCAGGTTTACTCCACCCTCCTAATTAAATCCCTCTCATTTTAAACTTGGATTACTGCAGTGAGTCTGCTTCACTTGTAGTATGCTATTTATATAATGAACACCCTTTATCACTTGAGATTCCAGGAAAAAGTTTACATCCACTCACTGGGTACTTGTGAAGTTTAGCAATATTTCAATCTCTTTGTTCCTTTGCTACTGACACTTCACTGAAGGTGTCATCAAGAAAGATAAACAGTATCCTTTAACAAGTTATACTGTTAACAGGGTGAAATGACAGTGTAACTTTATTGCAGTTCCATGTTAACTGTATGTGACAACTTGTTTACCATAAAGATATTCAGAGCAAGAATAGAAAATATCAGTAAATTCATAGATTCCAAGGCCAGACGGGACCATTGTGATAATTTAGCCTGTCCTCCTGTATAACATAGGCCATAGAACTTCCCCAAAATAATTCCTAGAGCAAATCTTTTAGAAAAAGATCAAATTTTGATTTAAAAAAATATCAGTGATGGTAAATTGTTCCAATGGTTAATTACTCTCACTGTTAAAAGTTTACACCTTATTTACAGTCTGAATTTGTCTAGCTTCAACTTCTAGCCATTGAATCATGTTACACCTTTCTATGCTAGATTGAAGAACCCATTATTAAATGTGTATTCCTCATGTAGGTACTTACAGACTGTAATCAAGTCACCCCTTAACCTTCTCTTTGTTAAGCTAAATATATTGAGCTTCTTGAGTCTATCACTATAAGGCATGTTTTCCAATCCTTTAATCATTATCATGGCTCTTCTCTGAACCCTCTCCAATTTATCAATATTCTCCTTGAATTATGGACACCAGAACTGGACACAGTATTTCAGGAGTGGTTGCACCAAAGCCAAATACAGAAGTTATTTTACATCTATTTTACAACCCTACTTGAGATTCCCCTGTTTATGCATCCCAGGATTGCGTTGGCTCTTTTGGCCACAGCGTCACATTGGGAGTTCATGTTCAGCTGATTATCCACCACAACCCCCAAATCTTTTTCTAAGTCACTGGTTCCCTCCGAGTCCTTGCTTCCCAGAATAGAGTTCCTCATCCTGTAAGTATGGCCTATGTTCTTTGTTCCAAGATATATACATTATGTGTTTTAATATGGCTATGTGTTATTGTTTGCTTGGTAAACTGTCCTCCAGCAATCTAGATCACTCCGAATCAATGACCTGTCCTCTTCATTATTTACTGCTTCCCCAATCTGTATCATCTGCACACTTTATCAGTGATGATTTTATGTCTTCTCCCAGGTCATTGATAAAGATGTTAAATAGCATAGGGCCAAGAACCAATTCCCACAGGATCCTACTGGAGACATACGGACTCGATCCACCTTTTACATTTACATTTTGAGGCCTATCATTTAGCCAGTTTGTAATCCATTTAATATGTGCCATGTTAATTTTATATCATTCTAGTTTTTTAATCAAAATGTTGTGCGGTACCAAGTAAAATGCCTTATAGAAGTCTAAGTATATTACATCAACACTATTACCTTTAATCAACCAAACTTTGTAATCTCATCAAAAAAAGATGTCAAGTTAGTTTGACAGGATCTATTTTTCATAAACTTATACTGAGTCCCATATCAGCTACTCTGTTTTGCCTGGGATTGACGTCAGGCTGATGGGCCTATGAATACCTAGGTCATCCCATTTACCCTTTAAAAAATTAGCTTTCTTCCAGTCTTCTGGAACTTCCCCGGTATTCAAAGACTCATTGAAAATCAACATTAACAGTTTAATGAGCTCTTCAGCATGCTCTTTTAAAACTCTTGGATGCAAGTTATCTAGACCCGCTGATTTAAAAATGCCAACTTTAGTAGCTTCTGTTTAACAACTTACAGAGATACTAGTGAAATGGAAAGAGTGTTACCATCACTGTATACACCTGGGAGAATTCTGCAACACTGCAAACACGCAAAATTCATGTCCCCTGCAGATTTTTTTTTCCCTCTGCAGAAAATACATTCTGCCAGAGAGCCACTGTAGTTACATCTTTCGCCTACCGGGGCTGCTATGGCACCAGAACAAAGGGCAGCCGGCTCACCGGATGTAACAGGCAGCAGTGGATAGGAAGGCAGAGAGGCTGCGTTCCTCACAGTGCCCTGTCTGTGGGGCCAGGTGAGGAGGCATGGGATATGGGGGGGGGGGGGGGAACAGACTAGGGCAGTGCCTAAATGGGAGGGGGGGTGCTGGGACACATGGGGATGGAGCAGATGTGCTTAACTGAATGGGAGAGACTAGGGGTCAGCCAAGGTCTGCATAGAGAAGGATCCCCCACTCCCTCACAATTCCCCCTCCCTCCCCCCCAAAAAACACCTGTTCCATACTTCTCCCACCCACATCCAACAACATTCCAGGCGCCTTCCCAGAAATTACTTTCATCTCCATCAGCTCCTCCGTTACCCCTGACTCCCCCTAAGCCTTTGCACTGCTTCTGAGGGGTCCAGGAAATAAGTTTCTGTATTGTAGTTTAAATGAATTACTCAAAGTTCTGTATTAATATGCTCAGTAAATCTATTTGTCCACAAACACTTCCTGAATCTTTTTTTGTTGTCTATTTTGTTACAGACATACTTGCTGACAGGTATTTTGAAATAAATTACCAAAATAATTGAAACTAGTGTGATTATATTGTGTTATTTTGACAAATAAAATATGCAGAATTTTAAAATATTGTGCACAGACTTCTTAATTTTTTGGCACAGAATTCCCCCAAGAGTAACTTTAAGATGAGACTGCATCATCTGTTTCCCCCCAAATGCAGAACAGAAATATTTCTTGAACACTGCCTTTTTTGCATTATTACTGATAATGCTACCATTTCCCTCTAGTAATGGACTAATACCTTTGTCAGGATTCTTTATATATTTAAAAAACTCCTTTATGTCCTTAACTCTGCTGGCCATGGATACAAGGAGAAATCTCTTACCTTTACTTATCAATTTTTTACAATTCCTAATTTCTGATTTATATCCATTACCATGAACCTCCCCCTTTCTTCCATTTGTTTTAAATAATTTTTTTATAGCTGCCTTCACTTCTGCATTAAACTATGCTGGTTTTTTAACCAGCACAGCCTTCTTCCTCAATTGTGGATTTTTGAGCATCTAATAAGGTTCTTAAATGACTCCCAATCATCATTCACATTTTTCTAATTAAATTCTTCCTCCCAGCAGATTTGGCTCACAATTGTTTTCAGTTTTGTGAAATTGGTCCTACTTAAGTACTAACTATATGTATATATATATGTGTGTGCGAGTTTATTTTTTACTAGTCTGGACTTTCTTCTGTTTGCACATTATAAATGTGATCAAGTCATGATCACTTGTACCTAAGCTATCAACTTTTACTTCTGAGATCAGTTTCTCTTTATCTGTTAGGACAAGGACTAATCTAGAATTCCCCTGCGTTGGCTGCAACACTTTAAACAATTTACTATACCAAACAGGATGAAATATGCTGCAAATATATACGATACCACAACATTACTATTATTGACTATTCTTCATGATACTCATCTGATATATGATGTATCCTCATCTCCTTCCCTTGGTCTACTCTTGGTCTTTAGGGCAATATCATAATATAAATATTTACTACCACTACTAATCATCTAATTTGAAGATGAAGTAAAAAGTATATAGACAAACTTAGACATTTCCAGAAGCCTTAGTTCAGAGCTCCCTAACTTGGAAACGTCTTTCGGTCACGCAAAGTTTAATTCCCTCACAAGGTTTATTCTAGTTAGGTGGCCATTAGGCAGAGACCCATTTTAAAAATTGGTATACTTTTGGTCTACAATCGAACAATACCCTGTTCATTAACAGCAAAAATGTATAACCAGATCATATATAAGAACTTGAGCACGCAAAGTTTTCTCCATACCCTTCTAACCTTTCTGGCTTTTTGTGGTATGAGATCTAGCCTCTCCCTTACATATGTATTTTGATAGCACCCATCAACATAGTACCTAAACAGTCTATGCGGGGCAAATGGACAGATGTCTTTGTTGATACTTCTCTGACATTCAGGAGTGTTCCACACTGCATCAGTGGTTCTGACAACTGAGACATCTGGAATCCATTCAGATGGTCATGATCAGTTTTTTCTAATTGTTTCAGAGCAGTGAAGACTATGCCTTCTTCCCTGCAGGGATTTCTCAAGGATCCACCTTGCCATTTTTTCTATTCAAGATTTAACGTGACTGGGGAGCCCATCCGATAATATGGGTTGCAGTGTGATCAGCCATGACATTCAACTTTAAATATACGCTCCCTTTTCATATGTTCCAGATACCACCATTGGCAGAATCACTCAATGACTGGCAGAAAGTGGGATCTCAATTATAACTGCTTGAATACTTAGTTTTGAACTTTGGCAATTTTTCATCAAATTATATGTGAATAAATTTTCCATTATTTAGCCAGCTGGCTAGAAATCAACGCAATCAAAATGGAAGTGATGTTTCTGGCAAGGGTCACAATGAAATGCCAACTTAATCTGTAACTGCTTTATCAGTTGAAGACTGCCAAGCACTGCAATCCACAAGTTTGTGGTCTAGTTAGATTTATTGCTCTGAGATTGCCAAAATTATTTCAGTCACCACAACAGCATTTTCCCCCTCAACTATGGCTGGTGAAAATTGCACCTCCCCTTCAGATGTAACCCACCATGTTCATCTATGCTTTTGTAATCACTTGGTTGGATATAGCAGTGGGCCCTACCAAAGACAGTGAAAGGAACCCAGAAGCTTGAGGAAGTCCAAAATGCAATTTTCCCCTGCTTTCTGTGTGGGGCAGGCCAAGGAGAGCATATAACACCCACTCTCTGCACTGGCTGCCAATCCACTAATGGATAAAGTTCAAGGTACTTAACACTATATACAAAAAAATCACTGTCTAGGCTCCGGTTACTTCAGCAGAAATTCACCCAATATAGAAATATGCTCAGATATGAGCCTGGATATTTTTAGAGAGCTAAAAGAAAATTCTGCCTTTCAAAAGTGAATTTAAGACCAAGTCGTAGATTTTCTCCAGATCACTACATTTTTGGGTTGCGTGTGAAGAATGGAAACCCCACGTAAATTGTAAGGAATATATTTACCTTTAAACAGTTTGTGCATACCCGTTAAATTAATTATTTTTACATCCTAGGTAGTGAAACAACAAAAGCAAGCATTAGTAATCAATTCCTGATGCTACTTGCTCACAAGGGGGCAGTATTTCTTAACTGTTATATTTTGTTGCAGGTTTACTACTAGTGAGGTTACCATGCGATGTTGAAACCTGAAGCAAATTTGCTAAAGACTCTAAGGAACTTAGTTTTCATTGCTCAGACACGTGAAAATATTAGAGTTATTCTAATAAATGTATTTAAGCTAATCTTCCTATGACAAAATCATCATCTTCATCACCAGTTGTGATCTTAAAAGAGAATAAATCACACATTTAAAAAAGCATGCTCAAAATGTTTTTTCAGCCATTTTCTTCTTTAGAAGAAACAGCATTTTTTGGTGTTGTCAAACTACATACAGTCATTGAAATGGTTAATGTTTTTGACCTATACAAGGTTTGTATGACAAACAGTATTGTATGACAGAGTAAGTACCTTCTTCATCTTCCCACTCTAGATCTAGTGAAGTGCTGTCATCATTTCCACTTGTTGATTTTGTTTTGGTCATTAAGTCACAGCTGCTCTCCGTGTTTGGTGTCAGAATGGTAGCATCAGATGAAAGTCCTACATCAAGAAGGTGTTTTTAATTCACATACATATTTGGGTTCAAGATTTAATAGCCAAAACTATCACATATCCACAGCAACTTTTACTTAGAAACTAAGCACCTTGCAAACCAACTAAAATTAAGCCTCAGCATCACTATTTAATGAATCACTTCCATCCACCAATTTAATGAAATGTATCCTCCTTTGGGAGAGCATACAACAGCTTTTTAACAGTTCACAACATTAAACAATTAAGGTACGACAGTGAAGAATACTGTATCCAATTAAAACTACACAGGGATTTAAACATAGAATGCAATTATCCAAGTTGGAATCTGGCCAGGGTTAACAAGGATTTCTAGAGTTCTACAGGATTCTTAATTACAAGCAGCCAGATACTCTTTTTACACTTCAGAGACTGCGCTTCCAACAATGCAAAGCCCATTAATAAGATAATGGGGTACTGGGTCAGAACTGATTCAAGGGTGAGAGTATCATATACATCAATGGCTTTCAACCTTTTCTCATTTGCAGAACCCTAAAAAATTTGGAATGGAAATCTTACATAGTCTGCGGACCCTCAGGAATCTACGGACCACAGGTTGAAAACCACTGATATACAGGACCTTCTCCTGCAACACCTAGGTGTTCTCTGGATGTCTCTGTGGGACACTGCCACTTCAGTGCCTGGAAAACCCTGGATAACCAGTAGAAGTCAGCCTGAGGAGCTCAGTTTGGGTGCTAGTTCAAAACTCGTTTTATTAGATGAAACAACTTTGAGTGCTGGATACAGTACAGGCACCTGTCTAAAGGGTATATGAAGTACATCTCCAGATGCCTCCACAGCTCAAAAATCCAAGAGGAACAGAAGTTCCTACCTTGTCTTATACAGAAGTATAGACCCAAATGTGGGAAAACAAGGCGATTTTTCTTCGGAAAAGGATATTCAAACACAATTTGCTCCACGGTTATTTATAGAACATCTAATTCCAAAATGTATTTTGAAAATCACTTACTGCTACTTCGAAAAGCTTCATAGTGGAGCTTTATATTTCTCAAAGAACAATCAAACTCCTCCTCTGCCACTGAGCTGTAAAAACAACATTTTGCTTATTACATCCAGAGGTATCAGTGATCAAGCCTAGCATTTATAGTTTTCTAGCATATTTATAGGTTCACCATTTAAAAAAGTCTATATGAATTAGCATCTTTAAATAGGTTCTCATATCTCACTTTTCATGGGGATCTCACAGAGCATTGTACATGGCACCCTCTTGTTAACCTTAAGAAATCATGTCTGCTCACGCAGTTTCAGCTACCATCTTTATACAGATGACTTGCAAAATTACATTCCACTACATATTTGTCTCCTTCCTTCCAATCTTACATCCCTGCTCTCTAACATCTCCTTTGATAACTTGCAGGTAACTTAACATGGCTAAAACTGGACTCCCTGAACCTTCCTCCCATATCCACTCCTCTTCCCTCATTCTCTTTCACCACTAACACCACCTTCATCTCAGACTCATAACCTGGCAGTTTATCTTTGACTCCTCTCTCTCTCTCTCATTTACCCTATGCATCCAGTATCCAAATCCTCATTTTCTTCCTCCATGGTATTTCAAAAATCCCCCCTCCCACACCCCATGCACACAGCTAAAACTAGTTCAGGCTTTCTTCATCTCTCACTGTGATTACCGCAACCATCTTCTCTCTGGTCTCCTTAACAAGTATATAATTCCCCTCTGATCCATTCAAAATGTGGTTGCTTGCCTCAACTTTCTTTGCCCATTTGCTCCCAATATTGTTTCTTTGATTCCCTCCACTGCCACCTCTCCCCATACTAGTGCTAATAAAAATCATGAGTTTATTTTCACTAACAAAATGTTTTGTGACAGCAGAGAGCACAAAGCTCTGACACCATTCTATTACAGGTTTGACTCACTTACAGTTATAATGCAGATTTCAAATTTGAATCATGAAAGACATCAGATAAAGGGATAACTCGGGTAACTCTAGACTGGAATAGCATTTTGCATGCATTATTCCAGTAACTCCAGAGGATGGCAGTAGGAATGCAATATGGTGTGTAAGTATGATGATGACATGCAAGAATGGCTACTTTTTAGTGGCGAGGGGAAAACAGCATTTTCAGAATAAAAATATCCCTTATTTGAAACAGCCAGATGGGGGAAGATGGGAAAGAACACATCCTCAGTTGCTGAAAACTCCCCCACTACTACTCATTAATAAAAAAATAGTATTTTGTTTCACATCTTACCTTTGATATTCTCCATTATTAGCTGCTGGTGCTCGCTGCATAATCCTCTGTAGTCTATGTGGCTACCAAACAAAGTGTAAGTTGTCATATATCAGGAAGTTTTCAAAAATCACTCTGAAGAAACAGACTTAATACCCTTCATATTATAGTTAAAAATATTAAAACAAGTTTCAACCTCCTAGGATCGACTACCTCCCTGTTGCAAGGCCTAAAAATATTATCCCAGTTCCCCCAATTCAGCTGGGAAAGAGACAGGACTTTGATTATATTAATACAGATTCTTAAGTAGGTGAAGTATTTGTCAGATAAAAATAACTTTTGCTTCTTAATCTCAGAGTATATTCTCTCCACAGCAGTACCAGTTCCTTCTAACTTGAAGGGCAAGAGCCTTCTTCATTTTAACCCATTTTGCACACAAGAAATGTGATCATGAGGCACCATCCTACTTGCAAGCATGAAAATAAGAGTGGTTATTCACCATAGTGTCTTTCCTTCTCAATTATTCTTATCTCAGCATAGTACTTTCTAAAAGCAGCTGAGATATGACAATTTGGATGTTTTGTTCTGTCCTTAGTACATGTTCAACAGAAAACATCTATAATCTGACAAAGAAAATCTACTTTTAAAGAAGCAATTTTATTTCCTTACATTACCTCAGCACAAGGAATATTGCCACATAGATTTCTATTTTTATATATCAGGATAAAGTGTTTGATTTGCATGAACAAAAACTTTACTATTTGTTGGTTCCTTTAAATTCTGCAGTTTAAAGCCTTCTTTGTATCCTTATGTGTAAACAGATTGAGAATATGAGATACAACCTAGTAATAGGATTCCTTTTATGGCCTCAAGATGTATATCTTATGGGCATAGGGTTTCACTCATTTTTGAACAGTTTTTGGTTTTAAGATGACTAACATCTCCATCCCCACAATCCCAGAGAGAAAAATTTGTGGATAAAAATGTAAGGCCAGCCAGGTACCTGTTTCATAACTGATTTAATTAAATTAATCTGTGTGACTTCACTTTGATTATATAGAAAGCTGAAATGAAATGAGCAAGTTTAATTTTTAGTAGCGAGAGCCCAGGTGTGTAGCAAATATATTTTCTCAGGCACATAAAGGAGAGAAAAAGGACAAAAGTGTGAGTAGTAAAACAAAAGATTAATTCAAGCACTTTAACATGGCTGTAGTAGAGCTCTTTCTGAAGGGCTGAATGGGTCTAGTGAAAATTTTTATTTAATACCAGACTCCAATATGACAATGCCTTTTCTTGGCACAAAAGCATTTTCCCACTGTGGAGTATGTGGCAGGTAATGTATTAGCACAACTAGATTCTGAATGTAGTGAGGAACTTGGAAGTTATGGAGAAAGTGCATTTCTTATTGATACTTGGTGAATGAGAGAAGGTGGATAGGAGGAAGGAAAGGATCACATATACACCTCTACCCCGATATAACACAAATTCGGATATAACGCGGTAAAGCAGCGCTCCAGGGGGGCGGGGCTGCGCGCTCCGGCGGATCAAAGCAAGTTCGATATAATGCGGTTTCACCTATAACGCGGTAAGATTTTTTGGCTCCCGAGGACAGCGTTATATCGAGGTAGAGGTGTATTAAGCAAAGTTGGATGTTTGGTTTCTACTGTATGAAGCAGATCCATCTTTAAACTTGTTCTATAAATTAGAAGGTAAATCCCAGGATACGCAAGTATTTCAAAATTATTGTTTTGCTTTGCAGAACTTGATTATGTCACCTGTACTCACATTTAGTACCTTAACCTGTATTTCTATTAGAAACAAATGAACTATACAAGATGTATTTAACATAAGCAACAGTGGTCAAATCAGGTTCATATGTTGTCATATTTCCAATGATTCACCTGTTTGTTGAATTAACAGACTGATGCCTGACCCAAGCATGGAGTTTCAGGCGGACATAAGAGTTGGATTGTGAATTTTATATAACTGAATTCTAGTTTATTTGGACCATGTTGGAACTTCAGCTCATATCCCTGAAATGTGCTTTTAAGATGGTTAAAACAAGATTAGAACTCTACCGTTTTCTTTTAATTGTAGCCACATGACTATATTTTTAACTAAAAAACAAAAATAAGATTTAGAGACTTTTTGAAGAGTAACTAATTTCCTCCCCATCTCCACTCCCTGTTGATTAATGTCATTCAACCTTTTCCAATAAGGTAGTCTGTTTAAAAACAAAAAGATGCATTATAGATGTCCTAGGATCTGGGTAAGAAAGACCAGTTTTCAGAACAGGGCATTTGGTAGGGTTTCTCCCGAAGAACTTTTACAGTCCTATGCATAAAACAAATTACTGATGGTGACCTTAAAGAGACCAAAGACAGAAGAATTAAAAAAAGCAGAAGGTGAGAAAAATCCATTGAGAAAGAATAGAGAACATAGTAATAGCAAAAAAAGAGGAAAAAATGCTGGAAAGGCATCTTGAAACTATTTGGGAACATTTGATACTGGAAGAAAACTAGATCTCATCTTTGCCCTACAGTGACCCATGAACTGTGAGCTGGCCATGATCATCATGTCAGACTCCTGCTGGTAGCACTGCTCATTTAGTGAACTACTGCACCAACTTTTCAATAAGAAAAGGCTGAATGGTAGTTAGTCCTAAAATGGGCTCCCACCTAATGTCTTGTTGACTGCAGCGATTCATTTTTCACGAGTTTAACTTTCTTCAGTGAGTCTACCCATGGGCTTTTAAAACTGTCTGTAATTAACATGTAAACTGTGTTTGGGAAGTTTGTTCTCTTGGGCATACTGTAACCACTGTCACAAACAGCATTTAAATGGATGTTGAAAAAAGTCAGACGTACAGTTCTAAGTGTTCTTTTAAATTTGCAGACACTTCATATAAGTAGACAATTGATACTCATCTTTTAGTTAATGAATTGAGATGAAAAATTTATGTACTAACAATTATGGGCTAAAATACAGTATGATTTTTATTATTCATATAACCACACTTGCATGAAGAAGTCAAAGTATCACAGAAGACAGACCAGCAACTGTCTACTGGATAAACAGAAAACAAAAAGCCATTTTCTTTTTTTTAAGACATCCAGGCTAAGTGTCAGCTGACTCCAATCTCAATAGCAACAGGCACTATGCATTTAACACTGCTACTGTTCATAGGCACAGATGTTTTATGCAACACATGCGCTACTCTGCTATAAAAATACTTGATACTAGACTTCAGGGACTATGCATGAAAATAGACACTACTACAAACCAAGCTGCATCTCAGAAATTACTTCTGAGAAAATAAATGAAGCTATGATAGTCTGTGTACACAAAAATATAGAACAGAAGCTCTGATATGTATTGGGGTCTTTTTCCCCTCACCTCCAAGAGCTTTTTCTGCTTTGCTGCCCTGGCTGCTTCACGTTGTGCAGCATATAAAGCCTCTTCTTCTATTCTTAACTTCTCCTCTTGTAAGGCTAACTGTATATGAACAAAATAATAAGGGTTAACAAAAGCAGAACCTATCTATCTTCCTATGAATAAAAACATAAGTTTACTAAATTAAAAGAAAAAGTTACCCATAAAAAGACAAACAAAAAGCAAACTACCAGATTTTCTTACCATTTTCTTGATCATCATTATATGCAAAGTATTGTAAGTCTGCTAGTTTCTTCTTTCAAACAACTAATGAAATTGAGTCAGATATATATTACCCTGTTAAAACAAAGACAACTACTGGGAAAATAGTGAGCTGTTTTAAATACATAAGGGCGTTTTACGGAGGACCATATACATTATAAAACTAGTTTTAAACATGAGATGAATTTGTATTACATTTAAAGAGGTGTTCATCTGGAAGCGATCACTAATTTCCATATCATATCCCATTAATTGTTAATGGGATATGATGTTAAAAGCAGACATGATGAATTAGGTTCTTTCGTTTTAAAAAAAATTTTTTGTCCCTCCCCACTAAATAAGTGGAATAAAATACATAGCACATTTTTCCTTTCCAAAGGAAAAAGGCTGGCATATTTTGAATTTAAACAGCTCTCTATAGAGGACTATCTATCTTATTTATTATATTTTCCATTTAATTAAGCAATAAATGAATTAAGTGATCATCTTTCATACAAATTTAATTGCACAGCTACAGTACCTGGCCAACTAAAAATCCTGTTAACCGATAAATGCAAGAACAATGATTTGCCACAAATTAAAACTTGTTTTGCTTGTTTAGGCCATTATTTGTAATCATAAAATTATCCAAGTCATACAACCACCATAATTATCTACCTCTGACTGAAGTTTCATATCAAATGCTCTCTGTTTTTCAGCAATGGAATCATAATGTCTCTCTCTCAGATCAGCAATTTCTTCCTCCGTCAGAGGTCTGAAGAGGGAGAAAAAACAGTGGCACTCTTTAGTAAATTATTAGTTAGACTTGGAACTAATAAGACAAGCCTAATAAATGGAAGTACACTAATGAGGGAAAGAAGGAACCAGTTAATTTATAATTCTGAATTGTTCAGCCAGCCTTCTGATCTGAAGTTCTAACTTGATTGGCCCCTTAATCCAAACACAGGAGCAGGCTGAAAGTACAGTTCATATCTAAAAGAAGGTTTAAAGTTACAGGGCTTACCTAAACGAACAGTTAATGCACAGCAAATTGGGGTGTAAATCTACCTAATACTAGTATGCCATGCACTAACTGTCATGTGGACCCTGTTACTGTGCATTAAATCTTCCCTAGTGAAATGGAAGTAGATCAAAGTACACTCTAGGGAACTTTTAAAGTGTGGTCCACACAGACAGTTAATGCACAGCAAAGTAGATTTACACCCCAGCTTGTCGTGCATGACTTTATCTCTACATCCCCACAATAACACATTTATTAAAGGCAATGTGATATTAAAGCGTATTTAAATGAAATCGCATTCCCCAAAAAAAGAATTCACCCTTTACAAAAATTATGCCACTTTTAAGAGAAGGATAAAAGCCTCGAAATTAAGATTGAAAGATTCCAACTAATTTCTCGGTGCTGTATGACCTTTTACTCACTGCTATCCCATCCTATTTAATTGTGTCCCCTTTTTCTATTCTCTAATAGAAATATTGGACATATTTTTGATTACATATTATTTAATATGTAGTAAAGATTTCAAAAGGATAGTCGTCCCAGGGTAACTGAAGTTATATCCGAGCTCAAAATATTCTCTCAGATCAAAGTGTAGGAGGAGCAGAACAATGTTTTTATTAAAAGAACTGGAATGAAGGCTCTGTTTCATGTTGATTATACCGTGCCCTAAAATTATGTAACCATATGTGCACTTTGTATTATGTAGCAACTAAGCAAGGAACACACAGTGTTTCACAGGGAGCAAGGCCCCACTCTTGAAGACAAATTGTTGTGCCAACACGGCGCCCGCTGAAGTTGCAGAATCAAGTGATAACGTTGCAGGACATATTAAATGTTATAGCATGTTGGATATGAATTCATGGAATAGAAAGATTTTATAATTTTAGTAATTTGTTATTGTAACATTTGTATATACTTTTGCAAATATTAGGGGACCAAGTTAAGATTGAGTGAGTGGTATAAGCCTGTAGGATTACAGAGCAGTAGGGAATTCACTGGAACCTTGTTCGTGTCCAGATTTCCCCCCACAACTAGCGGAATGTTTGTCAAACTATTTTTTGAGGGATGTTAGAGGGGGATTTTTTTTTTTTTTTAAACTGACCTACAGTACAAAAACCAAAGCTACAGGTTTAAAAAAGCAAGATATTTAAGGAAGTCAGGTAAAGGAAATGCAGACAAAGCTTCTGCATTGTTTTATCTTTGTATGCCTAAATAAAGGCTACTTGTTTTTAACTTTGCACCAGTAGTTTAAATAAAGTAAATGTTTAATAAACTCAAACATCAGCAATCTTGCTGTATATTATACAGATCTACCTTCAATTAATTTACTAACATGCAATTAAGTTTAAAAATATTTTTATGCAGAATCACTGAAATATACTTTTAGAAAATATCTACATTGTGAACAAAGTTGAATACCTGTGAGGAAAACAAAAAGCCAAGTGCCAAAGCCTTTTAAAGAAGTTGAAACTTTTAAAATTTAGAAGGATACTTCAAGATATTTAAGATTTTTCTGTTCTAGACTACTGAAAAAAATTGTTGCTTTATACTGATTTATTTGAAGTCCTTCTATTGACTCAGATGCCAACCTGCTTTGAGATTTTTTGGGGTGTTTATGAAAAAAAATTAAGAATGTTGCTTGGATCAGCCTCTAGTGCCAAAGGTGTAAAGCTAAATACAGTTGGGGGAGGGGGACTCGTCTAGCCTAGCACTTTGAATGCTTGTGATGAATTTTAGATACACTTCTGTGAATGTTAAAGCAATAGGGACCCCCCACCCCACCCAGAAACTGGGACTTTTCCCTCTCCCCACTTCCAGAACCAGTCCAAGACCTCTATCCCTGCCTCCCCACCTCCATGAAACCGGGACCTCTCTACAGCCCTGCTTATTGTATTCCTGACCCCCACTCTCAAGCACGAAGAAGGGGAGGATCAGTCCTGGGAAAGCTACCTATGGTCCTTAATTACCTTGGCCAGACCTGGGCCCGGACCTTCCGGGGATGATCTTCCTCCATTGCATTCCCCCTCTGTCCTCTTCTGCCACTGCCTCTCTGGCTTTTCCTCCCCTGCAGGCTGTGCAGTGAGGGTCTGATAGCAGGCAAACTCCAATGACTGACTGAGAAGTCTGGGGTGCTAGATTCAATACCCAAGCCACAGGCTGCCATAACTGCACAGAGCACTCTAAAGGTACACTACTCAGGGATAGAAGACCCATGGCACAACCGTGGCTGACCCAGGTCAGTTGATTTGGGCTTGTGGGTCTAAAAAAAATTGCTGTGTATATGTTTGGGCTGGGGCTGGAGCCTGAGCTCTGGGACCCTCCATCCTCGCCCCGTCAAGATCACTGCGTCTTGCTTCCTATCATCCTCACCGCACAGTCTATGCATGTGCCCCAAAGGCAGTGGAGAAAAACATCCCCCTGTGGTTGTGGTGCTATTTGCTGTGTTAGTCAGATCCAAGTGGTTGTGAATGCCACATAAATGTAAGCTTTGCAAAACTAGTAGATTTAAGGTGTGGGTTCATCATTTCAGAATTAAATATAAAAATCAGGTGGGTTACAAAAAATTATGGATTTACTGTTGACTAAACTCCATTAAAAAGTATTTTAAACTATATTAAAATAAATTACCACCACTAATATTAATATCTTGTAAGTTCACAGTTATCCACTGATGTTGGGTAACTGTCTGGCATTAGAATTTTCAGGCGTCAGTTAAGTGAAAAGTCAGCATGAATTTTGCTGGTCATATGTAACTTGACTGACATGATGGAAGAGGACATAAGTTTATAAAAAAAAAAGCTCTTGAAACACAATGTCTTACCTATGACTGCTTCCTGGGCTTTCTCCCTGTTAAATTATAAATAAAATCAATGTAATTAAGATAAGCCATTATCTACATCTAAATATACAAACTAACCAATCTACATTTATTAAAAAAACAACAACCAAACTTTCACAGACAAAAGTTTTAAGATCAGAAGCAACACCCATATGTAATTAGAGATCCAACAGAATGAGCTACAAGCATCCTCTTTTTCCATCTTCACCTTTCTAAGTAACAGGCAGCTAGTCTCAGCCTGTCTGCATTGTGATAGAATGCTGGCACCCTGAGAAAGGAGGGTCTTTCTTGAATAGGTAGACCACAATGCAGATCTTCTCTTATGGTCTCCAGCTTGTTTTGGCCATTAAAGAGCTTGTGGGATCAGGTTTCTCCCCCCAATTCTCTTCTCCCTTGCACATGATAGCCAGCAAAATGCAGAAACTACATGGGACATATAGAGCAGGCTGATGGGCCATTTGTTAAATAGCGCAACTTATCACCACCTTTTGCTCTTTATCCAGGAGTAGAACCTGGGCAACTTTGGTACTGTCCATGGGTGAAGAGAGCTCCATGGATGCTGCCTGAAAAAAACTTCAGATTCCTGAAGACCTAATGGTGAAGATTCCACTCTTCCTAGTCTGTCCACTTAGCTAGTCTCCCCTTACATCACCCTTCTCCCAGATGTGAAGCACTCTTGTGTAAAAAGGGTGTTTTTCAGACCATGTGAGAAATACGTTAGTTTCCCTCTGAAGCATTTTGGACCTAGGGACCTCCATGTTTCTTGACATGACTTGCCAACATATTGTCCATCATTATCAGCATGTGCTTGTTTGGAAGTGAAGTTGTGAGGCCTATTTTGATCCTTTTGAATGGCTTGTCACTTGAGCCAATTTATGCACAAGCAGAGTGAGAGAACTGCATAAAACTTGAATTGGCATTCCTCCAGCGTGTTGCCCAGACAGGCAACTTTCATGTTTTCATATTCCCGTCTGGCTCGGATACAGTACCACTGGGTGAATCTTCTACTCTGTACCAACCAGATCAGTGATATGTTTACCTCATTCTACGTTAACCTGGGAGGAGGCGACCTATGCAACTTGGGTCTTTGTTTCAGGTCAGTCTACACCAGTGGTTCCCAAACTGGGGTTCGCAAAATGTTACAGGGAGTTCTCGGGGGAAAAAATCCCTAATGGCGGACAGAGCTGTCCCTAGGTACCCCGGGCAGCACGGGGCCTGCAGTCCGGAGCCCCTGGACTTCCAAGAGCTAAGCAGAGCAAAGCAAGCATATCTACCAACTGAGGAGATTTAAACTTCAAGACTCCTTATAAGAAATGGAAAGGGAGATGGATATTTTTTGCTGTTTTTAAAATTAAATAGGCAGCTAGTATTGTTTTTAAAATTATTATGAAGAACAAGTTTAAGCTTTGTTGTAACGTGCATTGTTTGCCTGGACTGCTCAAGACCTGAATGCTTGTGTAGGAGGAACTCTTTGAGTTGGCTTCTTAAATACCTTCATGCTGTTTCACATCTGATACTCCTTGATGAAACATAGGAGTCTTGTCTTATAACAGGCTTATTCAAAGTGATATAAGCTATGAAAGTGAGAAACCAGTGACTGACACGTGCCACCATTTATTTTTAAGAAAGTTTTTTAAAGCCGTTGTGCAAGGACACTTCTAAGCAGCAGTCACAGAACTATTTGTACTTCACAGATGGTTGAAAATGCCACTTTTGACCTAGTGCCTCAGCATACTTGAACTGTGCTGGTATCCATTATAAACCCACACCTCGTAGATTACTGCTACGTACAGACATTGGAACCACAAAGGATGCCAATCCTGTTTATTGAAGGTGCAAAAGAGATAAGTAATGGTCACTGTTTAAATTTTGCAGTACCAACATTTAAACAAGTTCATTCTTAGATAGCAAAAACTGGCAGAGCAAGTCTAATATGTATACCCTATATGCAGTAATTTCACTCTTGTGCCAGATGACAGCATGTCTTCGAATGCATTATGGGTCACATGGACAGAGTCCAACTGCCTCCAGGTCCCTGAGAAGTTCTATAACTGTACCTCCTGAATGGAGTTTTTTTTTTGGGGGGTGGGAGGGGGAGGGAGTTGCCAGGGAGTTGGGAAAAGAGGCTTGTTGACACAAAAATCCCCTCTTTACTACTTTCAAAAACCTTAAGTTGCAATGAAGGATGGACTGAAAGCAACTCCCTGTAGCATTAGTGAACTACTTCCTTGTGTTAGGCTTCAGAAATGAAGTGAGGCATTACCAAAGAGTAACTCCAATGCACACATTCCTACATGGAGCTAAAGACACTGACTCCAGTGCTTCTACCAGTTCAAGTTAGAGCTTATAATAGTTCAGGTGCCAAACTCAGATTCTCTGTATAAAAGCATGCTGTACTGCCACTACTCAACTGATATGAGGAATGTTTGTGTTTTACCAAAAGATTACAGTTAGCCAAGTATTCCTACTCTTATGTAGGATACCCCTACAGACTGAATCTTTATCAGGTATAATTTTTTTCATAAGTCCCATTATAATAATCCTGCACTTCCCTTTGCAGTCCCACTTCTCTCCATCCCCCATAACCAGATAAATATTATTTACTACTATCCTAGAGGAAGAAAATCAAGTCCCGATAGTGTCAAAGAAATACCAGCAACTCCTCTATGAAGAGACCAATGCAGAAGTTAGCTGCAGCCAGAAGGGTTAGCAAGATGTGGATCTTGGGACTACAAATAAATTTTTTACAAGTATGAAAGTGTGTTGAATTACTGAGTGCTGTACTGTGAAACCCAAGTACTTACCTCATCACTTTCCACTAGATTCTCAAACTGCAAAGAAAAACAACACAGAGTATACAAGATTACTGACAAGCAGTCATTGCGATACAAACACCACACGTCAATGAACACAAATAAAAATCAGCATAATTACAACATGTTTACCTATTATGCATATTTTGTGGAAACGCTGCTCCAATTAAAGCTGAAGACAAGAATATTCAATTATCAAATCTTCTACTTTGTGAAGAGCTATTGCTTTTGGAGTGTGACCAGCTTCCCTACAAACATAGCTTGTAAGTTGTTTTCTTCTACACAGAATGTAATAATTAAGAGGGTAAGAGTTAGAATTAAGAGTTTTGTTGCATTTCATTGCATTTGGTATTATACAGTGCCCCAAGCAACTCCGCTAGGAGGGTAATTTATGGTTTTATTAATTAAGGACTGATGAATTCTCTCAAGCTCATGTATTCTGATATGAATAAGAGCCGCAAAACTATCAGTTATAGGCACTAGAGACACAGAAGTACTGTATATTAGTATAAAAGTGCACCATAGCCAAAAGCTGTACTGCAAGCTACCTCTAACACTAAAATATTAAAATAAATGAAATTCATGACATGTTTTCTGAAAAATATTCATAGGGCAAAAATAATTAACTTATAAAAACAAATAAATTGCCTATACAAAAGCTCTAGGCACCGTTGACATCTCTGAAGAAATAAATACAAGCTTTCCTCAGCAAAAGATGGAAAACCCTCTCTTCCAGCGATGGATCCTAACCTCTCAATATGGTCCCAGTCTCCCCTCCCCGAATCTGCGTCCTGGAAAGCTGCAGCACAGATATATCTCTTTCACAGAGAGACCTCAATTCATCCCTTTCCACTTTGGGGATATACAGTAACAAATTCAGGTGGAATAATTAGTTACTTGAAACAGAAACCAGGATTCTAAGTAAGATGACAACTTTGCATATCAGGGAGTAAGAGCCAATGAAAACATTAGGGTGCTTTATAAAGGGATCTAAGCACAGAAGGCTGAATCCAAAATATATGCAGCCTTACTAGTTGCACAAGCCACTGCAGTAGGTTGACCTATCACAAAGATCAAAATAAAACCAACAGAAGCCATCCAGCGCTGCATCCTACATCTATAGTGGAGTCAATCTACTAGCATCGGTGGGCAGCACAGCCCACAGGAGTTCCTATAAGGTACAGAATAACTACTATAAATGGGAAAGGAGAAACTGGTCTAAGCCATCTAGGAGGTTAAGAAAAGGACAGAACCGTCTTTCCACATCAGTCTGCTGCTGCAGGGAACACTCTCACACTGACAGATTTATGCTGCAGAAGGGGAGATTTTTATGTCCACATAACCTTCTGTTTCCCTTGCTGACAGCCAAGTAAGGTAGCAATTGTAGCTACTACAAATTTCTCCCCAACAATGCCAAGTTCCACCTTGAGGAAACAGCTGTCCTCAAGTTCTTGGAACAAGGGCATGTGTGCTATATTGACATGTTCTATGAACACAATCAACCCTGTTATTCCCATGAACCTGACAGGTCAGGCAAGTGACAGACTCTGCCCTTAGCTAAATGGATAGTCTTTAATAGTGCAACGATAGAGATGCTTCCTTGCTTGAAAGTCAGGATTTTCCTGTCAACACAGAGTAGCCTCCACAGTTGGTGGATCTTGGGAGATCAGATCAGATTCTGTGATCCAGCAGACTAAATTAGGATGCATTTACAATGGCAAAAATGTGATACATTTCACTCCCAGTATAGCAGTAGTGAAAGCTGTAGTATAGACAGGACTTGAGAATTTTTGCTATTGTCTCATCTGCTGCTGGACAGAGCACAGAAAACTAATACTTTGATTCCTATATGCATTACAGTTTAGAATATTGACATGCCTAAGTCTTTTTATTTGATCAAGAGAAGTGGCAAGACAATTACTATTTCATGATTCACTTAGTACATTAGTTTGATATAGTGTTAAGAGGCTCCATTTTATGCAAATAATGACAAGTGCCAGAAAGTCTGGTTGGGGTGCAACTTTTAAAAAAAGGTTTCAATGCTTAGGGAAAAAAAGTACTTACCTCTATAGTGAAGTGTTCTCCAGTTGAACATGTTCTAAAATACTTTGATCTAGAAAATAAACCCATAATTTCATTGCAGGTTAGTAGTTCTACAGTTCAAATATCTTCTCAAAATATTCTAAAAAAAATATTTATGACAGAATGAAGTCAGGTCTGATAGTTACATCACTACCATTTTAATCACAAAATTAGAAGCAGCTCGAGAGCAAAATACTTCAAAAGCCATTGTGAATTCATTTTAATGTTTTAGGCATAAGCTAATTTATTATTGTCAACTATTAATAGAGTTATATTAACTGATGCACTATATTACAGGGGAAACAAACCTGGAGTGTGAAAAATACTTGTGTCTGAGGATGTAAAAATGTTTTTTTCATATTGGAAGGAAGGTGCAAAAAGAATAAACTCCTTTCCCAGTGAAGGAGTAATGTATCAGGATGCTGATTGCTTTGCATTTGCTGCCATTGAGCATTTTTATTTTAAAACTGTGTTAACCAGTTTTAGTACATTTTACCTATTTCCCTCAAGACACAATTCTGGCCAGCCTCTGAAAAACTGATTGCTCACGGTATGACTCATTATGCCTGCTAGCAGTGTTCTATGTAACAAATGCCAGCTTGTAGAGTGTCATTCTTTGACTGTTTACTGATGTAGCTAGGGGGCTAACCTTTTATATCCCTTGTTTCTTCAGAAAGATTACTGATTTATCAAAAAAAAGCATCAAGAAACAAGGTAGTAAACCAGCACCATTTGACTTGCCAGTACTCCATGGATCACAATTTGGGAACCAAATGACATTTTTGGCAGAGGGTGGTTGAGCATAGCAACTACAGAGATCCAAGCCTTTCTTTGAGTCACTGACTGACTTAAGTATATCTTAAGGCAGGCCTGCACAACATGCGGCCCGGGGGCCGCATGCGGCCCGCGTGGGCTCACTATGCGGCCCGCGTGGGCTCACTATGCGGCCCGCGTGGGGTGAGTAGGCAAGTGACGGGTGAGGGGGGGGCTGAGGAGGAGAGCGGGCAGGCAGTGAGTAGGCAAGTCGGGGTGTGGGGGGCTGAGGAGGTGGGCGGGCGGGCAGGTGAGCCAGCGGCAAGGGAGGGGGGCTGAGTAGGCGAGCGGGGCGGGGGGGGACTGAGAAGGCAAGCGGGCGGGCAGTGGTGAGGGGTGAGTAGGCGAGCCGTGGGAGGGGGGCTGAGGAGGTGAGCGGCGAGTCGGTGGCTGACCTGTTCTACTGATCTGGTCTAGCTCCCATCCCATCCCTCCAAAGGTTGCAGCTGTCTGAAGGTGCCTGCCTTCCATGCCTTCCTCATTCACACCTCGTTCATTCAACAGGGCAATTAATTACAAAGTGGGGGGAAGATCTTATTCTACTTCTAGCACAAAGACATTTTTCTTTTAACTTAATTATACTACCTTAGGGGCCTGCTATAACATATTACCAAGGTACAATACCTCTGTTTCGGTGGGGCAGCGCTGGGGAAGGAGGGTTTGTTTCCACGGGGCAGGTGGCGCTGGGGGAGGGGTTGCTGGGGGGGTTGTTTTGGGGGGGGCTGGGTGGCGCTGGGGGGGGGTTCCATGGGGCAGGCAGCGCTGGGGTGGTGGTGTTGTGTTTCAGGGGGGCTGGGCGGTGCTTGGGGGGGGGGGGTTCAGCGGGGCGAGGGGGTTTCGGCCCTCAGCTGTTTTCTTTGGAGTAATATGGCCTCGCCGCTTTACGAGTTGTGCAGGCCTGTCTTAAGGAGTCAGGCGAGTATAATAAGGAGTTTATCCAAGACTTTCAACCAAGACTTTTTTTTCCAGGCTATCACCCCTTAAGTCAGAATATTGGCTCTCAAATAGCAGACCACTGCTGCTTTAGGTATGGTTGTATTTATACATTATATACTCTAGCACAGGCGTAAATAAAAACTACTGTTCTGTCCAGAAATAACTTCCAGGGTAACCCAACCGTGACTGCTCTTACTCATTGTTAGAGGAGCTTTTCTAGACCTTCAGCTCCCAAAATGTTTTGCACCACAGAGAAAGAGCACATGTGCACACATACCACACATTTAAAAAAGAAAGGGTGAAATTAAGAAAAGAAAAATTTAGGCTGACACTAGGAAAACTTCCAGACTGGTGAGATGTACTAGGCTGTGGAATAGTCTCCGAGGGTTCTGAGAAAACAGCTATGTTACAGCAAGCCCAATGGACTGTAACAAGTATAGGAGGGCCCAAATAAAGCCCAGTTCCTTGACTGATGTAACTGGGTTGGAAAGAACAGACAATATGCCGAAGCCCAGAACTCCACATAACCATATAACTCCACTCTTGAAAGGCAGATTCCTCAGGCAAGTATCAGCAACATAACTGTCATGTTGACTACACTGAAGGCAGAATATTGAAGAAAAACAAATTATTTAGGTTACATGCCTTCATTGGGTTTGCAGTTAGAAATCAATGGGCCCTAAGTTACTTCAGTGACAATGAAAATCCTTATATGCCTAACTTTAGCCTTCTGTTTTTGAAAATTTCAGACTGTGTTTTTTAAAAAGTTCACATTAAGTTTAACATTATAACATGAAAGCAATTTTGTTTTGAAGTAAAAGATTTTATGCCACTAAAAGTTTTTTTTTTTTTTTTTTTTTTAAATAAAAATACAATTTTTGCCCTGATGCTAAAAACACTCAGGCACAAGTTTAACATTAAGCACAAGCAGGCCGACTGATGTCAGTGGGACTATTCATAAGCATAGTTATGTACCTGAAGTATTTCCAGAATCAGGGCCTTAATTTTCAATTTTGATTTCTGCCAATACCAACGTTGCAAAATTCGATAAATATACCCTACCCGTAGTGGCATTTTAAAAACTGCATTTATGATTCCGTTCATTATTATTTAGTTTGTTAAGTTTTAATCTAAAGTTGCAATAGCACAAATTTCCAAATGAGTTTTAAAAAGCCTCAGATTTAAATTAATGATTGTTTTTACCAAAAAAACAGAAACAAAACAAAAAAAACCCCAAGTCGTTTAAATTGCTTCCCCATGTTGCTTTCGTTTTCAGCTCACAATAGCATCATGTTTAAAAATGGTCTCCAGAATGCATACCTTCTGTTTTAAACTGAATAATTGTCTAAAGGGATGGATAAAAAGCAACAGAAGAGGCATCTTGTGTCACTTGGCTCTGTTGTTCCCTCTTATGTACAGAAATGATAAGTGTGGGCCTTTGAGGAACTCAGTGCCCTGAAATCCCACTAAGGTTATGGACGACATGAGGGCACTGGGCACCTCTCAGGGTAGGGCCCAGAGTGAACAAGGAAGGAGTGGGGAAAATATTGCTTTCATCACCCCTTACCATTTGTCTCATTAGTGTGCATATGTATATTATGTTCTGATATTCTATATTTAAATACTGATACATTTGATTATTTTCTTGAAGGAACTTTTAAGAGAAAAGGCTACAGTATTGCTTCACTTCTCCATCTCTTGCAACTCATACAAAATCATGACATTTTGGACATTGCAGGTTAGCCAATTAAACCTTTAAAGTTGATATAACTAGAGAAGAATGACAAAATATTGTATGGGAAAAAGAGACATCAGGGTTCACATTTACACCTCCATGGAAGGAGTAAATAAGCTAAATACAACGCTGTTTAAGTAGTTATTGGGGGGGGGGTGTTATATTAAAATCTTGTTAATAAAATTAGATATGCAAGAACATGGACATATGGAAAGTTATTAAAAAAATTAAATTGATTTTGTTTTTTACTCATGTGATAAAAATGTTTATGCTTTAATCTTATTAGGGAAATGATACCAAAAAAATGCCAGGAGCTCCAATTATATTTATTCCCCACAGCTGCCTTTTATGAATGATGTGATCTCTCTAGGAGCAAAGAGAAAAAGCTTATGATTGAGGACAGGGACAAACTAGACCTGACCTACTTTTTAATAGGGCTGGAGGCCAGAGACATTAAGTTTTATTTGAAGAGCAATATTAACAGAAATTTGTTTCAGGGCACAATTAAAAATTATAATTTTAAAACGGACCAAATTCTGTAGTAGGCAGGCAGCTTAGGCAACCTTTCTTGTTGTTCCCACTGAGAACTCAATTACTACAGTAATTCATATAGCAAACACTTTGCTAAAAAGCAATTTTAAAATAATCTCTGCAATTTCATACAAAGATAAATTCAATTTAGATTAGTGTTTGTGAAGTGCTTTGCAAGCCTCATATATAAATGCACTAAAGTGCAAAATAAACAGTAAAGAATTCTTAGCCTGAGCATTTACAAGAGATCTCTCCAATTTTATAGTTTGAGACTTCCACTGCATACAACAACGAAGGTGAAGCACTAATTTCCTCAGAGAGGCTGAACCTTCTCCCATAAGTGATTACCATTACCTTCAATGGGAGCAGCATCAGATCCCATAAGTATGGATCTGTGTACATTAACAGTATGGTTTGGAACCTGGGATTTCTGCCAATTTTATCAGTAAAATTCACTTTACACAGCATTTACTACAGAGGTCTTCAGAATTCCTAAACTCTCTCAACTAATACCATAATATTCTCTCTCCCCTCCTCCCTCCCCCAGTTCTATGAAACATCTACAAGATTCACAACTTTCTAACGTCTAACTTTCCCTTTCTCAGTTGCTCATAACTTATTGGAAAAAATAAATCTTTCTAGACTGAAAGCTTTCATGTTGGCTATCAGCAGAGAGGTGATTATTTTTAATCTTTGGGCAAAATATTTGTTCAGCATATACTAAAGGCAAATATTTATAAAAAAATATTAAAGACCTTCCCCAAAGACTACGCTTAGATTTTTACAGATGCTAATTGATTCATATTTGGCTTACATTGCAGATATCAAGACCCCAAAAAGAACACAAATTTGGTCAGTTTATTAACTTATGAAGTTTTTTCTAAATACAAGCATAGTAGAATTTTTTTGGGGGGGTTTGATCAATCAAAAGCCACAGTTGTTCAGAATGTTGATAAAAGCATGAAATGTTTTAACTTTTGATCAAGCTAAACTCCAAGTCAGTTTAAAGCTACTGAATTTGGGGGAGTGTGCACACGCATGCACAGGTGTGCATGTCCAACCCGTTCTTAAAAAAAAAATCCAAGGATGGGGATTCCACAACCTCCCTTGGAAGCCTATTCCAAGCCTTAACTATTCTTATAGTTAGAACATTTTTCTTAATATCTAATCTAAATCTCCCTGACTGCAGATTAAACCTATTATTTCCAGTGGCCATGGAAAACAATGATTACTGTGCTCTTTATCACAGCCCTTAACATATTTGAAGACTTATCAGATCCCCCCTTTCAGTCTTCTTTTCTCAAGACTAAACATGTCTAGTTTTTTTTTAACCTTTCCTCATAGGTCAGGTTTTCTAAACCTTTAGCATTTTTGTTGCTCTTCTTTGAACTCTCTCCGATTTATTCATATCTTTCTTAAAGTGTGGCACCCAGAACTGGACACAGTACTCCAGTTGAGGCCTCACCACTGCAAAGTACAGTGGGACAATTACTTTCATGGGTAACATACAACACTTGTTAACATGCCCCAAAATGATATTAGCCTTTTCCACAACTGCATCACACTGCTGACTCATTCAATTTGTGATCCACTACAATCCCTCTAGATCCTTTTTGGCAGTACTACCATCTAGCCAGTTATTCATTTCGTAGTTATGCATTTTATTTGTCCTTCCTAAGTATAGCACTTTGCACTTGTCTTTACTAAATTTCACCTGGTTTAATTCAGATCAAGTCTCCAATTTGTCATGGTCATTTTGAATCCTAATCCTGTCCTCTGAAGTGCTTGCAACACCTCCAAACTTGGTGTCATCTGCAAATTTTATAAGCATGCTCTCGCCTCCATTATTCAAGTCATTGATGAAAATACTGAACAGTACTGAACCCAGGAGTGGGAGGATGTATCTAGTGGGGCTCCGTAGGGGTTAGTCCTGGGTTCAGTACTGGCAAGTTTCTGCGCAACAAATTATACCACTTTTATTAAAGCGCTGGAATTAAACTGCTGTTGAGTGTCCACACTGGGCTCCTTGTGATGGTGGAGTGCATCCACATTAGCATCTCTTGCAACCGCAAAGAGAGCAGTGCATTATGGTAGCTATCCCACTGTGCAACTGGCCTCAGGGTGCTTTGGGAAGGGTTTTCAATGCCTCATGGAGCAGGCACAGCATCACATGATGCATGTTTCCCAATCCCATTGTTCCATGGGCCTCCTGCTACATTGCTAGTTGCTTTTCAACTGACGGGGGAGGGAGGGAAGTGAAGTGTGTGTATGTGGGGGGGGGAGAAGAGGGTTTGTTTTGGGGGACAGAGAGTGTGTCAGCATGCCATCTTGTAAGTTCAGACAGCGGCAGGAAGCAACCAGTCCTGAAGCAGGGGGAAACCCCAACATCAGCCCCCTGCCTCCCTTTCCAGCTCTCTGCACAGCAATCTCTCTCTCTCACACACCCCTCTGTGTTCAACATTAATAGTTTGCTTTGTGTCCCAGAGCAGATCAGCACAGCATGCAATGGCTGTCAGAAAGGGAGCTTGGTGCAGCCAAGTTCAAACAATGAGCAGAGCAGGCACTTTAGGGATTATGGGACACTTCCGGAGGCCAACTGATTGCTTTCTGCACTGTAATGTGTTTACACTGCCAATACAGCGCTGGAGCTAGGGTGACCAGACAGCAAGTGTGAAAAATCGGGATGGGGGTGGGAGGTAATAGGAGCCTATATAAGAAAGAGATCCAAAAATCGGGACTGTCCCTATAAAAACGGGACATCTGGTCACCCTAGCTGGAGCCTCTGCGTTTTAAGGCTTATAATTCTTGTTGGGGTGGTTTTTTTGCAACGCTGCAACTGAGGAGTTTCTGAGCACTAAGTGGCTTGGCAATGTGTACACCTCAGGAGTTACACCGCAGAAAGCTGCTTTACTGCACAGAAACTTGCCAGTGTAGACAAGGCCTTATTGTGTCTTGGCCTTTTTTTGTTGTTGTTCCTAGATGCTTGTGCTATTCTTTTATACGTCTCCTTCGCAATTCATCCATAGTTCTATTTCTTATAAGATTCCTTTTTGATTTTCAGTCCATTAAAGAGCTCCTGATATGAAAAATAGTAAAAAGCCAATATGGATCTTTCATTCACACTGGGATAGTTTGCAGTTGTTGTGCCTTTAATACTGTTTCCTGGGGAAACTCTCAGCCCTCCTAAACTCCTTTATCACCTGGGATTTTCTTCCCATGGGATCTTACCTAGCAGGTCTTTGAGTTTGTTAAAGTCTGCCTTTTTGAAGTCCACTGACCTTATTTTGCTGCTCTCTCCTTAATTTCCTTTGAATCATGAAATCTATCAATTCATGATCACTTTTACCCAAACTACCTTCCACCTTCAGATTCACAACCAGTTCCTTCCTGCTGGTCAGAATCAAACTATACGTCAGAATTCTAAGTTTACACCCTCTCTGGACACTGCTAAATTACCTTTACCAGAGATTACTTTTATTCCTGGGGTCATAATTACTATTGGAGAACAAAGGATTTACCTTGTGAAAGTACCAGAAGGCACCAACTCCCAGCAGCAAGTTTTCAATATAATTTCTTAAGTAGCATTAGAGTCCTAGGGCTAATTTACATTAGAAAATAAGATCAACCAACCTACGCTCAAGGGCATGAAGAATACACACCCCTGAGTGGCATAGTTAAGCTGATCTAAGTCCCTGCATAGACTGCGCTAGGTTGATGGAAGAATTCTTCTATTACCTACACCGATGGGAGAAGCCCCCCATTGGTGTAGGTAACATCTACAATGAAGCGCTACAGCGGCACAGCTGCAGCATTTCAAATGTAGACAAGCCCCTTGAGTCTTCCACAAGGTTTTGCTAAGACCTCAAGTTGAAACCCTGAGTGGCAAGTTCTCCCATTACCTCTTTAGAGGAAGGGGGAACTAGCCAGCTCCAACAAGCGAGAACCGAGGCTCACACAAGTTAGGTGAGTTTGAGCACCCCTACCCCTAGGTATGACAGGGGCTTAACAGATCAGCTAGGTGCTGGCCATAAGAAATGGTTTCACTCACTGGATTCTGTCCAGGCTGGAGGCCAGAGGCATAGGGGGGGGGGGGGGGGGGGGGAGGTCACCTCCCAGAGCTTCCTCCAGGCCACAGCGCCACCTGGCATCTCGGCAAACCCCCTTCCCCACCGGCCGCCTCCATCTACCCTTCCCAGGTACACCCCGCCGGGCCCGATCCCGAGCCAGCCCCGACCAACTCCCCCCGCCCCACCCGTGCCAGGCCCCGCTTCCTGCCCTGCCAGCGGCACATTTACCCCCGCCCCCGGCTCACCCCGGGGTCGGCCCCATCTCAGGGAGAGAACAGACCAGCCCGCCCAGCGGCCTCCCCTTGGCTGGGAAGCCGCCGTGCCGCTGCCAGGCCCTTCCGCCCCGCTGGGATCCGGGGGTGGGAGTGCGGGGTAACGACCGCGCGGTACCCGGCCGAATCCGCCCCCACCCCACCCGGCGCAGGGCGGAGCCAGCCCGGCCCGGCGCCTCCCCGCCCCAGGGGGCTGCTCCTTCCGCCTTACCCTCCGCCTCGCTGGATCCGCCCCGCTTCTCTCCGCAAGAAAAGGCCGCAGCACCACTGCGCCCAGCAGTTCCCCATCGCATACTGGGGGCAGCCCCAGGCCTCGGCCCGACCACGGGCAGCGGCCGGCACCGGCCGTTACCAGCCCGGAATCAAACGGCCCCTCTGCGGCTCGCGCCACCGCCGCCCAACGGCAGCGGCATCAATGGCCGGGGACCCGGCTCTGCCCAAACAGGCGGCTACGCTCGCTGCGGAGGGGGAAGCAGCGCCCGTCCGAAGCTCCCCTCCGCCAGCCTCATGGCCCCGCAGCTACCGCTCCCCCGGCGCGCAGCCCCTAGCAGCTGCCTGGTGCACCCGGCCGCTGAGTGCCGCATGCGACCCACGGCGGGAGGAGGTGGCAGGTGCGAGCATGCGTAGTAGGGAAACCCTGTTCCCTACGCCCCCACCTGCTCCTCCCCTCGCCTCATCCTAGGCAAGGGTGTCCCCTAGCGCCTGCCCAGCCCCTTTAACTCTTCTCCTGCCTGGAGCCATGCCCAGGGACTCTCCCACCCTGCTCCCCTCCTAATCCCCCCGCCCCAGTCCCTTAGACCCTCTCAGGCTCTTTCCCCATCTCCCTTCCTGAGGCAGCACTGTCACCCCAAGCTCGGGTTGGTAGCTCTCCAGGAATCTCCAGGAATTAAAGATGAATCTTTAATTAGAGATTGGGTCATGTAATGAAACCTCTAGGATATATCCAACCAAAACTGGCAGCCCTACCCCAAACCTTCAACAACTCATGAGTCAGGTCCCCAAAAGGCAGGAGAAAGGTCTAAAGACACCATGAGACTTTAAAAAAAAATGGCCTTTCTTCAGGTTTGCTGAGTTCATAGTTTCAAGCTTTTTCTCTCTGAGGCTAAGGACAAGAACCCTTTTGAAATGAAAAAAAAAGAGGAGAGTCTCAAACACCACATTGTGAGAGATGCAAGGTGACCTTCCTAGGTTTCAAGGAAATAAAGATCCACTATGAAAAACGCATCTTTAAGAGACCATACGCTGGATGCTTTATTCATAGTACAAAATCACACATAGTGAATCAACTTTTACGTTGTTCCATTGCTGCAACTCCAAGTTGGATAAAGGTCATAGGACAGCAGCATTCAAATATGGAATGTTTCTTACATAAGAGGTTGTGACAGTGCTGCCCGTGGGAGCCAGCTGAGGTTACTCAATTAGGGTGAACTGCAAACAAAACGGGGCAGACAAACCCCAGAAGCTGGTGGTTATTCCAATACTTACATTTACCAAGCCAGCACAAAACAGCTTCTATAGTACCTTACTGGTTACTCAGAAGTCCAAACAATGCAGTTCCCTTAAAGTGCCCAGCCTGAGGCCTCCGTTCAGTAATCATCATCATATCTGACAGGTGTATCTGAAAATCTTATCATATAAAAGAAAAGGTTCTTCCAATCCCAAAGGATCAGCCACCTACCCAGGTTCAATTATAACAGATCTTACCCAAAATACATGCTATAGCCAATTTTTATTAGCTAAACTAAAATTTATTAAAAAAAGAAAAAAGAGAGTGTTGGTTAAAAGATTAATATACATACAGAGTTGAATTCAATTCTTGAGGTTCAGATACATAGCAGAGGTGAGCTTGTTGTTGCCAAAAGTCCTTTTAGAAATAGTTCATAGGTTATAGTCCAATGTCCATATTCAGGGTGGCTCCAGTCAACGACTGGGGATCTCAATCCTTGTGGCTTAAGGTTTCCCCCTCTTGAAACCCAAAGCAGATCTGAGATCAAGTAGGATGTGTCCCAGGGTTCTTATAAATTTCCAGCAACCTTTTGGCCTGAGAAAACAATAGGCTTAATTCTCCTTCCAAACATCCTGGCAATTAGCACAGGGTAATTTATCCATTAAACAGTTCAGATACAGGTTACCACAACCTTCAAAGAGACATATAGACAATAATACTATTTCACTCAAGTATCATCACAAATGTTAATATTCCTTTTTTGATCTTTGAATTAAAACTATAGCAATAGACAAGACTTGTTTCCTTACATCACAAGACCTGAGCAAACATCTACCCTTGAGATCTCTAACAATGCAGACTTGCATTTCAAAGCTCTACCTATTTACCTATCTTCCTAGCCAGTCTCTAAAGTTCACCCAGGGGTCAGGTCAGTTGATGAGTTAACTAACTCTTTCTGGCCCTGTCACCTTCCAATGAAATATTATATTACACTCATAACATCACAGGGGTGCTCACAACATTTGGGATCATCCTAATCACCAGTGGTTGGTAATCCTAGTCTAAAGCGTTCCCCTGAGAGTGCCTGGGTTTCAAGATGAAGCCTCAGCTATACTGTACCAGTCAATTGCAGGTGAACGTGTGTGGCGTGGAGTGGGGAGGGCAAATGAAGGAGAGAGGGTCTCTCTGGTAGCACAAGCCTTACCTATTGAATGCTTCACAGATCAGGACCACTGCCTAGGACTTGATCCAAACCTGGAAGAGAATCCAACACAGGGTGCAGAGTACCAGTGCTTTCTTTGGATTTAGCAGGCTGACTTCTCTGTGGTAGACAAGCTGCAGTTTTTGTGTGGTCTTAGGTTTTAATCTCAGGTAGAGGAGTAGTTCAGCCTGGAGGTAACGGGCCGGGTCATTATGACTAAAGCACTGCTGCACAGGGTGCTGTTCTCTTGCTAGCTGAAGCTGAAAGCAAGCAAGCGTGCTGATGTTGAAAATAAGCATTCAGGAGGATTGAAGAATCCAACACTACCCCAGGCTATATGCTACTTTGAGCACTGGTGGGCAAATGCCATTAATTATATAATTACAAAACCAAAATTAAGATTGGTGTATATGTTTGTCACCCTCTAGGTCAAGGACCTAGTTTCTTATGTATTCATGCAGCACTTTGCATGATGGGGACTCAATTCTGATTATGGCTTCTCGGCTATGATACATGTTATTTCTCCAGCATGCTTTCTCCTTCCCAATAGTACACCTATATCTTTCCCAGATTTGACTTGAACTGGCTGTTAGTCATCCAGGTACCGCTAGGGTGACCAGATGCCCCACTATTAGGGGCTTTGTCTTATATACATAACTATACTTCCCCTGATCCTGATTTTTCACAGGTAAAATCTCTCCCAGGGAAACAGCAGCCGTCCATCGTGATGCTTTGGCATCTGTCGCAGAGGAACAAAGAAAACCAGCTTACTACAACACTGACAAGCCCTACAGGATACAGTGTAGCAACACCGCATTTAAGTGTGTGGCAATTCTTCAAAAAGGGCCATAATTTTGGAGTTTAATGTATCCTACCTAGACATTCCCACATCACATATAATTTGAAAGCTCATTTTATTTACATTTAGATAAAGTATGACATGGCACTGTCAAGGGGTGCCATAAACCTGTAGGCAAGGTGAAATAATGTACCCAAAATGAGAAAATGTCACTTTTTGCAAAGTTCCAGAAACATTGCAACATGATTATGACTACAGTTTTACTGTTTGAGTTAATGTCAACATCTTATTGTGGTATGCATGGGTCAAAAGCTATCAAACAGCACTGTATTAAAATAATTTTATTGGTTTTGCTTGGGCAAATTTTTCCCCCAGAAGTGATTAAGCTGTTTAGCAAGTAGCAAAAATGGCAAATGTCAACATTTTGCAATGTACTAACATGGAACGTTTTCACGTGGCATATTTTTAATTGTCAAAGTATCTCAGAAAACTAAATCACTTCTATATTTTAAACTGAAAATTGCTGACCAAATCAGTATCACACTGAAGGCAGTGCAGCATAAGCAGTAGATTACCTGCCCATAGTTTGTACTGTATAACACGTAAATATAAATGTACATGAATTTCCAACGTAATGCTTCTCCAGTTGTAAGCTTTTGTACATACCATCTAGCCTGCCTGGTAGAAGGTTTTATTTGTAATTGCCTATGCATACAGTAATAACCGATGCATGCAGTAATAGCCTTTGAAATATTCCAGAAAGTAGCTTTTTAATTCACTGACAGTTATGAACAGGATGGTATTAGTGTTAGAAATGACAATATACAGCTTCATATTGGGCTCCAATCAAAGAGCTCCCTAAATAAAAATGGTGATTTTGATACTAACATATAGATCTAATTTAGCACACGGCTATATACTTGTGAAGGGTGCTGGTAATGCTAACAATATATTTTGGGAATTAACCTCTGCCCGGCAGCTATAGTATACGAAAACGTGAAGGATACAAGCCCCCTAAAGCTTACATCAAACCACAAGGACACTCCACAAAGATATTTGTCAAGAAAATCAAAAGAATGCAAAGTTTTCAAAAGCCACCACTGCTGGACAGAATTTTGTGATGCCGGCAGCAGAAGCCAGGAGCAATTCATTGTACTGGGGGCTATTGAATGAGTTTTGTGGTTTAGACAATGTGCTACCAATACTATACAAAATACAAAAGTAAGTTGAATTTGGCAAATCTCAGACTTGTAGTGAGTCCAGGAAAGAAAACAGACTCAATCTGATCAGAGAACATCATATGCACCTGCTTCTATAGCTACTAGAGCAAGCACATTGTCCAGCGCTTGGTCCTTTTGCATTGTTTTCTTGTGTGTGTGTGTGTGGGGGGGGGGAGTTGGGAGGAAGGGAAATAACTCACACACAAGACAAGAAACATCATAAAATAGAAACATTTGAAGATCAACCAATCTAAGGGAGGCAGCACTCAAAGAGGAGATAATGTGCTGAACATCTGTGGAAGATTTGATTGTTTAGGATGCAGATTATAACTGAACATACCTCTTCCTACTTGAGTATAACAACTCTTAAAAGGAAGCCATCTAGTTACACTGCACCAGTACAGTCATCTTATGACACTGCATTTTATCAGCTGATAGAAGAGATAGACAAAGATCTTATATACAAACTCTTTTCCTGTCCAAGTTACTACATAAATATGAAGTCCTACTTTCTTCAGATGTAGAAACTGCAAGCTATTCCAGTAGCAAGTTACAGGTAAGATAAGAAAAAATTCTCCAATTTCATTCCATGCACAGTGTGGACAAGGCAAGTCTACCATTATTCTAGACAGCACAATAACATTAGCAGCTTGGATAGTATCAGCTAGTGATCTGAAGCAGGAACTTGGTCATTCAAATGGTTTGTGGATGTTCTTCTGGCAAGTGAGCCTGATGAACAGCTTTCAAATGAACAAGTGTTTTTTGTATAATGCTTCTTCAATCCTTCAGTCTGAAATAGTCAAAAAAGAAAGCCTCAGAATAGTATCTAAAGGCCAATGGTTATAGTTTACAGAGATCAGCTACTTTTGTGCCCTATTGGTGCAGGAGTTCCTCCTTTGGTGATAAAGAGGCATATAATACAGCCATAAATG